CAACATATGGGAATGAAGTCTTCTCACTGTGAGAGCAGATGACTTCGGAGCTTTCCAAGCGGCACGTACAGTAGATCACATGCTTATTTAGATGAAGTCATGTTGAGTTATGATGACAGAATAGACAATATGTCAAAAAGCACAGGGTCATTTGAGGTCATCCGAGAGGTCCATAAAGTTGATTAAGACAAAGTAGGACAGCACTCAAGGGAAAAAGGGAAAAAAAGAAAATACATTACTTCAGTGTTTCAACTTAAGTGAATACCTGCATCGCAGCAAAAAAACAAAGAGCCAGCTCAGCAACCTTCCACAGCCAGGACTGAGGCAAGATTATTAATAAATATTTTTACGTAGTCTAGTGAAAAAATGTGCCCTTGTGAAAAATGTGCACTCAAGCATTTGTTTAAAAAAGTACTAATTATCAAAATCGGATAGTTAATACATCTGCATGTACTTAATTATTTTAGAACAATACATAGCAACTTTATTGCCAAGATTGCAAATTTGTTGAAATATATATCGTAAATGCAGAAGTTTGGGTTGGGTTGGGTTGCAACCCAGTCCCATAAAAATACGTACCTCTGGGTACTTTTCTGCAACACCGTTTTTACGTACCTTACTGCACGTTTCGCCGCAGTTTCAAAGAGAAATGTCCACTGAGTGGCGCTAAAACACGGGTTCAATACGTGAACCCTGGCACGTTTTTATTACGTTGATAAAGGTACGTATTGCTGTGTTTTTATTACGTTGCTTCAGGTAGTATTGCGGCGGTTCAGAATTCAAATATCCAACTGTAAAATTACGCTTTATTAATCGAAACTCTGTAAATGTGTGTGAAAAGGAATAAAAGGTGTCGGAGTTTTACTGCCTCTAGTGTTCATTTCTTTTGGAAACTGCAGTGATATTATTGGTACGTATTTCGCGTCTCGCGAAAATGTGCCCCCGGGTACGTTTTTGCCATGAGACCAGGTTGGAAGTTTAACTTCTGTAAACTTCTATTGCATATTCTATGGGACTTTTATATTTAAATGCCATAAATATTTATATTAAATATTATTATTAAATATTTATATTATGTTAAATATTTAAATGCAAGTAGATTACACAATATTTATATTTAAAGCTATTTAAAACGCTGTAGCATAACATCTTCAGTTTCAGAGAGATGAAAAACAACAGAAAGCAGAATCCCTTAATACCATCCCCTCCATACATCTACATGAAAGAAATATGCATGGAATAAACTTGAATTGAAGATTCCTGCTACGAGGTACAAAAAACTAATTTCAAGGTGGATTGTGTCATGATGTATCACAGTGAGCAAAGAGATGCACTTGGCTGTTATTCTGTGTTTGTTGTAATTCAGGCATGAAAGTGTGTGTATTCATGATAGACGTATTCATTCACACCCCTGGATCTGTTTTCCAGAGGGGTTGCCTGTCATCATATTATCTGCCAAAACGTCTGTTCCACCCAGTTAAAGATGCAGTTGATTGACAGAAATGAGGGTGATAGCTATTCCTTCAAAAAGTTAATTTAAAAAAAGCAACAAAAAAAAACTACTAAAATAAAGAAGAAACCACTTCAAAATACTTTGAAATGTGTTTCCATAAACATTTCCTCACACCAAAACATATGATAGGTCACAAATAAGGGAAGATTTCCAGTCAGCCAGTACGATCACAAAATAAACCCAGAAAGGGTCGACAGGGGTTTATAAATTAATCCTACATTTAATTAAATGAGAACAAAGAGACCACTGCAGTCACCTGGGTCCAGTCCGTATCCAGACCAGATGGTGGATCAGCACCTAGAGACGACCTCTACAGCCCTGAAAGTCAGCGGAGACCATGTCAACTAGACAAACTCTAAAGACAGATCCTCTGTGAAGACCTTGTCGGCCATCAGCACAAGACTATGATTACCAGATGAATCCTCTGCTCAATCTGATGTGCGCTGCAGCCTGGAATTAAACCACACCATGCTGGCTCCCTGACTGAGCCTGGTTTCTCTCAAGGTTTTTTTTCTCCATTTCTGTCACCAATGGAGTTTAGTTTCCTTGCCACTGTCACCATTGGGGACACAATTTCTGGCAACATTGTTGACTTGACTGCACAGACACCATTAGAAGAGGATGATGGATGATGACATCACTGACTCAACAATGAACTGACTTTAACTGATAAACTGACTGTTTTCTATTGTCCTCTTGCATTATCAGCACATGTTTTCCTGTTTAAAACTGTAAAGCTGCTGTGACACAATCTGTATTGAATAAAGCGCTATATAAATAAAGGTGACTTGACTTGACCGCTGAGTGATACATGACACATGAAACTAGCATAGTTACAGTACAATATGTTTGCCAAAGTCAATTATCCCATTAAATGGTCATTATACAAAAGATTTGATCACCAAATGCTGTGACTGACCGATCAGAATCAAGAGAGCCATGTAGTAAGCCATGTAGTAAACCAATAAAATAAAGAGAAATAGTGATTTTAGCCACTACAGAACACCAATTTAGAAAACTGTGGTAAATTCACTGCAAAGTACAACCTCTATTGCTTTCATAAAATGCAGAAATCGCAATTTAATAAAACATTCCAATGTTCAAGTTAAATTTATGAACAATAATAATCATAAAAGAGCCGAGGAGCCCACGCCAAACAATGAAAAGCTTATATATCCATGTTACTTTGGTTAAAAAATCAAAACAGGGAAAGAAAAATAAAAGGTCTGTATATAATATCCTTAAAAATACAAAATAAAAAAAGTTATTTACCTTAAGAGGCTTTTTACAATGCATCTAATTTATATTAGATCGCTATTACTGTCTGTAAGCTCAGTATAAGGACATATACTGCTTTGACACCTTCAGACAAATCAATGAAAGTACACTCTCACGCTGCCAATACCTCGGGACAAACTACTACTAACACTTGCAGGCATTTTTTACTGCTCTCTTGCGTTCTGTCTCGCTCCGCTCCTCCCATGCCCACCCTCCCTGTTTTGCAGCCCCAAACCCCAGGGAACATTGCTTAAGGTGTTCAATTTACCACAGACAGATGGAGACTCTGTTGTTCTGATTGCATTACCATATTCCGTTCCTACTGGGGCAGTGAGTGAAAGGGGACAGGAAAAGAGACAAAAAAAGAAACAGAGATAAAAGGAGTGAGAATGAGAGAGAGATATAGGGAAGGAGAGCAAGAGAGGGAGGATATTCATGTTTACACTGCCATACTACTTGCTATATATTTGAGAGGTTGTTTGCAGTATACCGTTAAGTAGTGATAAAAGTGATAGATAAAAAATTTTGGTTGACCACTAGCGGACATTATGCATATTTTCTGGTATACTTCAACAAAAATTTTTACATTTATTTATTTAGTAGATGTTTTAATTGAAAGTAATGCATTAGTGATTCATCCTATAGGACAGAATCTCTAAGAAGTGTTGCACAACTAAGTTGGATAGAATAGATTTTGTTGCGGTTATCAGCATGTAATATATGCAGAATGTGACTGTAAAATTTTGAACAGCAAGATGAATATAAAGAAGTGCTTGTTGACTGTCAGTAAAAAATAAGATTTCTCTAAAGATTTATTAAGAAAGTCTGTGACAGCTGGCACCTTTTTTAGCTGTTAATTCATTATTATATTAAATTCATATACTTAGCAAATACTTTGTTAGCAAAGTGACTTGTAATTAAGGGCAAAAATATACTTGTAAATCTAGCACTAATTTATTTTCTGTCTAATTAGTAACAGAGGTGGATGTGATGCAACATATTCCTGTACTACTCTCTAAGGCCATCTCACATTTCTTGAACACACTGAAACAGACTTAACCTGTTAACTTAAGGTGCAATTCAAACTGTTCATCTTAATAAATGATATTCACAGCTATTTGGGTTTGCAAAGCACAGGTTTCCTACACACTCACTATCTAAGTGTGTATATATGGACATTATATGTCCATCAAGATTTAAGATTACAATTTAATCATTGGTATGAGCAGTGCTTAATTTGTAAATCGGAAGGTGCCAGAACACAAATAGCATAGCAGCCACAGGTCCCAGAACATACACAGAATAACATGCCACGTACTCCAATCCCCATTTACCAAGCTGGGGCCTACAGGCATCAATTTCAAATAATTTGGTTGATATAAATATTGTGGCAAAAATAATTTTATGCTACTCACATTCATTTATGAATTCCACAATCATGTAAATAATATATTTTAATTTAAAATGGCAAAATTTGACTAAAGAAGTCAAGTAGTTTGTTCCTGCCAGTCTTTTAAGATTGCTATTGTAAGATGTGCCAGACAGTAATTTAAGAAACATTTAATGATTAAATGTAAAGCTGCTTGCATTACCTCACGCTCTTACACAGTTAAAACTGAAGCATCTCTTTGATTTGATCGGCCGTCTCAATCATTTTGACTTTGGTGAGCACTGTTATTACACCACTGAGGCAGACCAGACTAAAAATTGTATTTTTAAACTTTTTGCCATCCTAACAACATACACAGCACAGCAGAGGAAGATAAAGACTGCTAAATACTGGGGACGTGTTATTCACAAATAATGCCTGATATTGCATTAATATAAATAGCATATTTATAGCCGGGAGGGCAAAAAGAACATGGTAGTATCTTTACTGTGACCATGAGTATTACTAATCTTCCCTTTTCTGTCATCACAACTAATATTCTGTTTAACAGTTTCTGTTTAACTCTCATCAGAAGCGTCCAAAATGCCCTTCTGATGAGAGATACTGCATGTACCAGAACACAGAGACTTAAAAACCGATAGGTCCCGGATCCTGTTCCGCCAGGATCCAGCACAAATTAACCCCCTGGGTATAAGGGAAAGTGTTTATTTTAGCTGCCGTAATTGGTCAAACTGTAAAAAAACTCATCTCATCTCAAAACATCTCACTCAGACATCTACACAAAATTATGCTAATGTTGTGTTAGATTACTAAACTTACACGTTGGTGGTGAAGATGCCATAGATGAGATCCTGTTCAGGCAGGTAGAAGGTGCTCTGTAGCTCATTGTAGTAGAACGGGATCTCTCCCGACCGTGAGCAGTTGAGTCGTGCCTTTGTGAAGGTGGTCCACGTGTCTTCCAGCAAGAAGCGTCCTCCTATGTCATTCTTACACACCCGCGCCACCCGTGAGTACACGGTCTTACCACAGTCGTGTTCCACTGCATTTTCCCTCAAGAAGAAGAAGGTGAAAAGACCCACGTCGTAAGCCGAGATGAAGTGAGGCTCTGAAGGAGAAGGAAAAAAGCGTGGCTAAACACCTTACAGGCACAACAAGCATTTCAAATGGGTACATCTATAGCAGGACTCTCAGTAATGCAGCATAAAGTGGTTTAAACGGCAAAACAATTACTTTACTTCCATAGCAAACTGGCCTGCATCCGTTTTCCTTGAATTTCTTAATTCCACTCTTATGCCACTCTTATATCTGCTTATGACTACCTAGGACTGGAGCAGAAGACTGTGTGCATGTGACATGCAAAAATTATTCTGAATACAAAGAGCTGTCCCGTTGGTCCAGGTGGCACTGGTCTGGATTGCATTAGTCAGAGTTAATATCACACACTGAATAATGTCTTAGCCCCAAGGGCTGTTTATTCCCCAGCCCGTCCAGTAATGCATGCCATAGATATTCACCTGTAAATAGGCATGACTATAATCACTGCTGAGGCCATCGCAGCAGTTTACAAGAATGAGATTACGGTTACACTGTGAAGCCCAGGAGAGGCATCAATAGCCATAACTGTTTTTGATTCAATTTTAAACTCAATAAATACCAAAAATCCTCAGTGGACACAGACTCAGAAACAGCCCAGAGAAAACTCTGCATGCATAAGAAAAAAACGATACTGCTCTATCTGCATAAACTGACTGCAACAGAAGTTACGGTCAAAACTGGACTGGACCTTTGTGCATTGTACCATGTACTGAAATCACAAAAAGTATAATTAACGCAGCCCACGTGACTTTATGCTATATTTAGCGCAGAAAAAAAATAAAATAAAAAAATACACTAAATTATACTTTATTTCAGGTTCATATCATGCTTTTTGGTGGGCAATGTGAATACTTTGGTATATAAATATGTACCATGGCATATATCAAATATTATGGTATTAACACTTGATCACTGTATCATGGTGAGTAAATGAAGAACATTTTAAAGTTTGGGTTACTAATACCATGGCATTACCATGTTTTATTTTTACTGTATCATGGTAAAGACAGGGTTTTATGGAAGCCCGTTTCCGCCACTGAATAAAAAATTTTTTAAAAAAAAGGTAATTGCGACTTCGCATTACCATGTTTTATTTTTACTGTATCATGGTAAAGACAGGGTTTTATGGAAGCCCGTTTCCGCCACTGAATAAAAAAAAATTTAAAAAAAAAGGTAATTGCGACAAAAAGTCAGAATTGTGAGATAAAAAGTCGCAATTACCTATTTTATTTTTTATTCAGTGGCGGAAACGGGCTTCCATAGGGTTTAGACGTACTAAGCAGTATCATGATTTTTGGACATTAAAGCACCATGTAAATACAGTGGTATATGAATGTGTACCAATTTACACTACTGTGTAAGTCTGGGGCCAACAAAAGTCAGTACGATTTAATTTTTCTTATATTATTTTAATTAATATAAAGGAATTCATTTTAAAGTGACAGCAAAGACTTTTTAAATTATTTCAAATAAATGCTGTTTCTTTGAATTTTCTATTCATCAAAGAATCCTGAAAAACATGTATCAGTTTCCACAAAATATTAAGCAGCACAACTGTTTTCAACATTGATAATAAGAAGAAATGTTTCTTGAGCACCAAATCAGCATATTAGAATGATCCTCACTGTTTTTACTGTATTATCAATAAAATAAATGCAGCCTTTGGCAGTATAACATTACATTTTACTGACCCTAAACTTTTAAACAGTACTGTATATAATATGGTATTATCTGATTCATACCTGTATTTTAAATGTGAATAAATTATGACTGATGATGAATTTTCACTAACAAAAAGTACCAAAAATGATTATGGTATTATTATATTTTGGATATGAATTTGGAGTATTTTGAATAACATTTGGAGTAGTCTAATGCTTATTTGGTTTGCATTTTAAGTATCTGGTACCATGAAAATACACTAGTATATGAATATTTATCATAGTATGCAGTACTGACTCACTGTACCATGGTGCATTTTGTAAGCAGTGAACCATAACAAAGATTAAATTCTCTGTCCAGATGCACCAATAGGGGATTGTTGTTGTGAACAAACAATTCTTCAGCTTTCAGTTTCAATGAGACCTCATAACTACACTTCCACACAGATCAGGGTAAAGGAAGTGGTCAGAGAGATACAGTGAATACCAATACTGATGCATTCAGCACTACAACAATTACTTCCCAGTGACTGCATGAATTCATCAAGTTTTTTTTCTAAGCTGAAACAGGCAGGGTGTGAGTGTGCTGATTTGTGAGGGACTGAATATGACAAACGATATTTTCCTTCTTCCATGCTGAACGTAAATACTGCCTCATTTCCACACCGCCACTCCATCAGGGGTCCTTGTATGTGTGTGTTTATCTGCGAGCCACAGTCAGGGAAAAACACTAAGCTGTGAAGTGAATAACAAGTCCCAATAAGCACCAGAGGAGAGAGGCATGCGCTAATAGCCACGCTGCTGGCGATGATGATATTTCTCATTGAATCAGAGCTGTGCTACAATAATATCATATCTCACTTCGGGTACGACCCCACATGGGTTCAGTGTTTAAAAAACATTCAGTCAGCACCTGGCACAACCGTTATAATAACAGTCCGGATGGATTCAATTGTAGACCCTTGAGGTTCATGCCGTTTTTCACTGACCCCCAGTACAGAAATACGTTTTTAATTCACACTTCATGTCTACTGAGTCCATATCCCGCTAACATTGAACTTCCTCAGCTGGCAAAGGAAGTAAGGAAGTAAGGAAGTTTTTAAACAATGGAGTCAATGTGTCCCACTTCAGGTCCTGAGAGATGGTGGTGCCCAGCAACCTGAATGACTCTACTGGTGCTGTTCATGATAGTGACTGGGGGGAGTGCTGGGAGGTTTCTCCTGAAGTCCACAATCATCCCCACAGATTTGAGCATGTTAAGCTCCAGGTTGTTAAGACTGCACCAAACAGCCAGCTGCTCAACCTCTTGTCTGTAAGCAGACTCATCACTGTCCTGGATGAGGCCGATGACTGTAGTGTCGTCTGCAAACTTCAGAAGCTTGACAGAGGGGTCAGTAGAGGTGTTGGTGTACAGGGAGAAGAGCAGTGGGGAGCGAACGCTTCCCTGAGGGCTGATGGTGTGGCTGTTTGACCTGAATTTCCCCAGTCTCACTAACTGTTGCCTATCTGTCAGAAAGCTGGTGATCCACTGACAGAGCTAGGAACAGAGAGTTAGGTTAGTTTGGTCTGGAGGAGTGTTGGGATGATGGTGTTGAAGGCCGAACTGAAGTCCACAAACAGGACCCTCACATAAGATGCTGCAGAATGAAATGCAGTTCCATGTTCACTGCATCATCCACGGATCTGTTTGCTCGGTAAGCAAACTACGGGGGGTCGAGTAAGAGTCCAGTGATGTTCTTCAGATAAGCCAACACCAGTCTCTCAAATGACTTCATGGCCACAGATGTTAAGGCAACAGGTCTGTAGTCATTCAGTCATGTGATTTTGGGTTTCTTTGGGATGGGGATGATGGTGCAGTGTTTGAAGCAGGCAGGGACTTTGCACAGCTCCAGTGATCTGTTGACGATCTTTGAAAATATGTGGGCCAGCTGTTCAACACAGGTTTTTAGAAAGGCTGGTGAAACACCGTCTGGGGCTGGTGCTTTCCTTCTCTTTTGTTTCCTGAAGATTTGACACACATCATCTTCTCTGATCCGAAGTGCAGGAGGGGGAGAAGGGAGTTGATGGAGGTGTTAATGTTTGTGTAGAGAGATGGTCAGAACGGGTGTTGGGTGTGAGACCGGGAGTTTCAAATCTACAGTAAAACTCATTCAGGTCTTCAGCAAGTTGTTGATTCGCCTCAGTGCTGGGGGATGGGGTCTTGTAGTTTGCAATGTCTTTCAGGCCTTTCCACACTGAAGCAGGGTTGTTGACTGAAAACAGATTTTCAAGCTTTTTAGAGTAGCTCCTCTTAGCCACTCTAATCTCCTTTGTCACTGTGTTCCTGGCCTGACTGTACATGATTCTGTCCCCACTCCTGTAGGCACCCTCTTTGGCCTGACGAAGCTGTCGGAGTTTTGCTGTGAACCATGGCTTATCATTGTTGTATGTTAAATAAGTCCTGGTAGGAATGCATATATCCTCACAGAAACTGATATAGGATGTCACAGAATCTGTGAACGCGTCCAGAGCAGCTGAAGTAACAGCTTCAAAAACACTCCAATCAGATTCGTTCGTCCATCTCTTTACAGTCCTTACTACAGACTTAGCAGATTTAAGTTTTTGCCTGTATGTTGGGAGAAGATGAACCAGGCAGTGGTCAGAGAGTCCTAAAGCTGCTCTGGAAATGGAGCGATATGCAGCCTTTATTGTGGTGTAGCAGTGGTCCAAAATATTTTTGTCTCTGGTGAGGCATGTAATGTGTTGCTTGAATTTTGGCAGTTCACGTGTGAGGTTTGCTTTATTAAATTCCCCGAGAATGATTATGACAGAGTCTGGGTGTTGTTGTTCTGTGACTGTGATCTGATCAGCCAGCAGTTGTAGCTCCGCGCTCACGTGTACTCGCGGAGGAATGTAAACACTAAACAGAATGAACGAGAAAAATTCCCGCGACGAGAAGAAAGGCTTACAGATGATGAAGAGTGCTTCTAGATCGGGACAGCACATCTTCTTCAATGCTGTTACATCTGTACACCACCTTTCATTGATGCAAAAGTATGTCACGCCGCCACGCGATTTCCCCGCTGATTTTGCGTCGCGATCAGCTCTGAATAGCTGAAAGCCAGGCAGATGTAACACGCTGTCCGGAATGGCTTTATTCAACCAGGTTTCCGTGAAACAAAGAGCAGCAGAGTTTGAAAAATCCTTATTTATTCGGGAGGGCAGGAGAAGTTTGTCCGTTTTGTTGGGTAGGGATTAAGGGAATGGAGATTCGCCAGATGGATGCTAGGCAGCTGCGTTCTAAAACCGCACTGTTGGAGCTTGACTAGCGCGCCGGCTCGCTTCCCACGCTCCTTGGGCGCCGCAGCAAAAATGGCTGCCCGGACGCGTGTTCAAGGTGTGTGTGTCTGTGTGTGTGTTTGTTCACTACTCACTGCTGTGTGTGAGCACTTGGATGGGTTAAATGCAGAGCACAAATTCCGAGTATGGGGCACCATACTTGGCTACACTTCACACCACACTAAACTGGAAAAAGATATATTTGAAGAGAAATAGTATTCAGTTGTGCAAATATTAGCAAACCACTCAATAAAGTTGCTACCCAATAGCCAAATAGCTACTTTAGCTACAAATACCGCTTTTTTTTTAGCTAATTCAAAATTCATGTAATGCCACTTTTTATGATTAAACATTCACAATGGAAAAAAGTAATTCTTCATGTTGAATATCCTCTTTCACTTTGAATTTTGTCATATTGTTCCGGGTGTTCACTGCTGTGTGTGTGTGCACTTGGATGGGTTAAATGCAGAGCACAAATTCCGAGTATGGGGCACCATACTTGGCTACACTTCACACCACACTAAACTGGAAAAAGATATATTTGAAGAGAAATAGTATTCAGTTGTGCAAATATTAGCAAACCACTCAATAAAGTTGCTACCCAATAGCCAAATAGCTACTTTAGCTACAAATACCGCTTTTTTTTTAGCTAATTCAAAATTCATGTAATGCCACTTTTTATGATTAAACATTCACAATGGAAAAAAGTAATTCTTCATGTTGAATATCCTCTTTCACTTTGAATTTTGTCATATTATGGAAGTAAAATAGCAATTCAGATTAACTTTAAGCTCTCTTGTGCTGATTTTATTCAAATGTGGTCAATATGTGTCCATAGAATGCAGGTAAATGTGCATGCCTCAATAATCCTGCTTCCCTCTTTTTGTCTTTTTCTGTCCTCAAGAGTGAACCTACAGTGGAACTACAGGCCGACTGGGTGACATGAAGCGTTGCAGCTGCAATTTCACCCTCTCTCAGTCATGAGGAATAATTACACTGCTGGATGCCTGAATGTTCGTCTCCTCTGCCCAGTCCTACACTTGCACTACCATTGCTAACTCTCCAACCCTTGTCTATGTCCTTCTCCTTTCACCTCAACTACCCTCTGACATCTCCTCAGTGGAGCCTCACTGAATGACTTACATCTCTGGCTTTCTGCTTATTCCATTTCAACTGGCGTTGAATGAATTTTCTATGGGAAAAGGCAAAGTGTCAGCAGCTGGGAGATTATTGACACCTTTTGACTTTGCACAGGAAGTGTGCTGAGTTTCGTTTGTCTCTATGTTTGACTGGTTCCTCCCCTGACAGGCCAGGGCTGCTCTAAAAAAGTGCCTTCGACGCAAAAGAAACAATTGTGGGAGGGCAACTTTGCTTTTCTCACTTTTTACTAGGTATCATATAGGAACTTACAGTGGGTCAGAGCAAACATGGAATAGGGTTATTTTAGTTAACTAAAACCATAAAAAACATTTAGCTATGTGAAATGAAATAAATGTTAATTGAAAATACAATATATATATATTTTACTTCAGCTACTTGCCAAAGTGACATTTCTCTCTCTCTCTCTTTTGTTTAGTTTAAGGTAAATTACTAAAATAACTCAAACTAAAACTAATAAATAAAAATAAATAAATACCTTATAGACGTTTGAAAAAACAAAAACTAATACAAATAACAAAAACACATTACTAATACTAATTACTAAGACTTTCCAATTATAAATTAAAAATATATATAAAATTAAAATCTATCTCAAAATATTAACAAAAACATAAATAGTATATCAATGATACTAAAAGAACACTGACATGGACAGCACCTGCAGAATAAAATGATTTTGTATCATTTATATACTATTACATTTTTTTATTAATATTATGAATTAGTTTTTATTTTTATAATTTCAGTTTTCATCTTAATTTTAGTTAATGTTTTAGTAATTTTGCTGTGTTTTATAATTTTTTTAGTTTTTAGTTTTAGTTCATTTTTTTATTTCAGTTAAGGTTTATTTTATTTCAAGTAACCATATTTTTATGGTTTTAGGTTTAATTTATTTGACAATATCCCTAACCCTGCTCAGATATTTCTCCTAAAGTTTGTGTGAAAGACAAAAATGAGACGATACAGTAAGAATATACAGAGAGTATACAGATAAAAAATACACACAAATAGCACAACAGAGATCATCTGATAGGAAATGTTTGATGAGATATGTTTGAGATCAAATTGGAAAATTTTTGATCACAGACTTTGTGAAATTTTGAGATCTATACTGAAACGAGGAGATTATTGTTGTTGTTTTTTTTATTAAGAAAAACATATGAGAAGCAGGAGACTTAAGAAAAATAACAGTTTGATTTCCATTTAATCTTGTTGTCTAGGGGAAACAACTTTTCTTTCCTATGGGGGAGTGCTATTAGCATTTACACAAAATTAAATAACGTCTCATCAACAATTTTCATTTGAAGAACAACATTCAGCTATTTGGCTGCATATTAGCAGGACAGAAAAAAGGAAGGACATCAAGAGAAATGTCAAAACTTTTCAGACGATCTCTGGAATATGAGACTATCAGACATGAGATGATGAGTTTAATGTACCATTAAGCCATTTGGAGTTGTACTGGGCGGTCCGCAGAGGTGGCATTCCTCCTAGGCTGCGGTAGATAACAGGGTCCCGGCCAGAGAAATCGATGACCGTGGCGGCGTACAGCTCTCCGCTTTCGGTCACCACAGCAGTCGAATTATGACGGGGGTCATAGGGGCAGCGGGCCACTCCATTCACCCTCTCCAACACTCTGCCCATGTTCCCTGCCTGAGAGGAAGATACGATATGGATTACACGCACACACACTTTGATTAAAAACTCCAGTTTTGTCAGCTCATTTAACCGATAGATGCTTACCTCTCTGGTGATGCAAAGGGGCTGGAAGGCATTGGTACCGCAGGTAATCACCTCTGTCTTGTTGACAAGCAACACCCGGATGTAGTTTTGACACTCCACCTGCAGGGGCAGATGCACTTGACAGTATGACAATAGCAGTGGCACGTTCAAAATACTATGGTACTGATTACAATTTAAAATATGTAATTGAAAATATATGCAAATAGCAGTATGTTACAAAGCTGTGACATAAATTCACTACATTACATGTTTAATTCAGTAATTTTGTGAATATGACTTCTGTGAAATTAACTTTTTACAGCCCCATCAAATAATAAGATGAGAAAGATTTCAAGAAAAAGAAGTTTCAGCAGACATTGGTTCATGAACCATAGTGGAAATAGAAACTCCAGTTTAGGCACATTGCATTGTGGGATTCTGTAAATCAAACCAGGCAAATCATCCAGTCATCTATACTATGGAAAACGACATTTGCATCAAAATATCTTAAAGAAATGGTAATGGTATGTCCGTTATAATTTAGAACCAATTCCAATTGGAACGAATTATTATCTTTTTAAATTTAAATCCATAATAGGATACATTAAAAAAAAAAAAAAAAAAAAAAAAAAAAAAAAA